CGCCGGGCAACAGCGGCGGCAGCCCGGCAGCAGCGGCAGCCTCCGTCCCCGCGCCGCCCGCGGCCGCCCCTTCCCGCTTCCGCGTGGTCAAGCTGGACTCGAGCTCGGAGCCCTTCCGGAAGGGCCGATGGACGTGCACGGAGTTCTACGACAAGGAGGGCCTGGGGCCGCCGGGGGCCGCGGCGGGCGAGGGCGCGGCGGCGGCGGCGGCGAATCGGGCCCTGGAGGCGCTGCGGCAGAACCCGCCGGCGGAGGGCCCCTCGGAGCGGGAGAGCCCCTGCGGGAGTTCGCTCAGCAGCGGCAGCGTCAGCACCCTGAGCCACTACACCGAGAGCGCCGGGAGCGGGGAGATGGCCGGGCCCTTGGCGGGGGCCCCGCAGCCGGCGGCCGACTTCCTGCCCGGCCTGCCCCAGAGCCTCTCGCAGTCCCAGCTGCACCAAGAGGCCGGCTTCCCTCCCCAGAAGGCCAGCCTGGCCGCCCCCCAGCAGCCTGGCATCCTGGCAATGTTGCCACCGCAGCAGCAGCTGCCCTACGCCCCATCTGCGCCACCCCCTCCTGTGCAACCGCAGCAGCTGCCCTACAGCAGCATGGGGCAGGCCCCGCAGCAGGTCTCTGTGCAGATGGCCCCTGGGCACATGAAAGCCGCCAATCCCAATTCCCTCCAGGGGCCAGACTACACCCAACATCAGCCGATGCTCCAGGCTCCACTCTCTTCTGTGCAGCCCGGGACAGGGGCACCAGCCCCCGCCGCTCTGGCCCCAGGTGGGCAGCCTTCAGGACCAGCACACCTGGCTGTGGCTCCCACTCAGCCCGTTGCCAGCGTCCAGACCCCAATGCCACCCTCAGCAGGAGCAGGAGCTGGCCTTCCAGGGATGAATGCCTCTCAGCAAGGAGCCCTGCCACCTGGGGTGCAGCAGCCCCTGGTTGCCAATCCGATGGCCCCGTCCATGATGCCACAAAACGCTGCCCCTTCCCAGGGGATGCTGCCCCTTCCCGCGGGGATGATTCCGCTGGGGTCGCAAGCGGGCCTGTCTGGCCTTCCCCAGCCCCTTGTGATTGCCCCACAGGCCACTCTGTTGCCGGCCCAGTCCCAGCTGCAGTCGGGAGAGCCCCTTGTGCCGGGAATGGCTGGCCAGCAGGTGCCCGCCATTAGTCCTGGCCCTGCCATGGGCGCCGTGCCCGTTTCAGGCCACTGTGCTGCTAACGTGCCCCCTCCTCCTGTCAGCTTGGCCCCTTCGAAGAACGTCGCACCGTCTCCAGCCGTGCAGAATGAGAGCTTGGCTCAGAAGTTTCCCCCGTCTTCATTGACATCTGCGAGCATCCATTTGCCCATGCCCCCGAACTCTGCTCCGTTCTCTGCACAACCTTCTCTCGCTCAGTCGTCGGCCGGCCGAAGTGAAGAAGCCGGGCGCTCCACAGATCCCCTGCTGGTTGGCATCGCCCAGCCCCTGGGCCCAGAGAGTGGTGCTGGAGTCCCCTCGGCCCTTTCGGACGGGGCTGGCAGCATGGCGGCCTCCCTCTTCCCCCTGAAGGGCCTTCCGCTGACTGCCCAGCTCATGGATGGTGAGGATGACGGGTAAGAGCACACCGGTGAAAGGGTTCCTGGGAGATTCATTCGGGGTCTTCAGGAAGGAGCTGTTGAGCTGTGGCACCAGTTCCCAGAAGCTGGGGGTGGGGTGGGGGGGGGAGAGGAGAGGAGTCCCGGCTGTGGTTCTGGGTGGATGGGTTGATGCCCAGCCGCTGGCCCAGGGTGCAGTGGGGACACCTTGGGGAGCCCTCACCAAAGATGCCTTCTTCTCAGGGGCCAGCGTGTTTCAGGGACAATGCTGCAAGTTTTTGGTCCCACCGTCAGGCATGTATCAGTCTCTTGACTTGTGTATTTAGAGGAACCTAAATGCGCTCAAAAATCTGTGGACGCATTTACTTTCCAAATATTTCCACTTCTCTCATGGGGAGGAGGGGGTGTGTGAACAGGGAGGTATTGTTTCTAACGCTGCATATTTCAAGGCCGGTTCAAACTTGGGCCTTCCTTTCCTCCACCTGGTTTGTTCTTGCTACTCTGCGATGTCAGTTTTATTCTTTTTTAAGCAGTTGTTCATTGTGTTTCTTCAGAAAGACTTTCAGAATGTATGTGAGGTTTTTGAGAAGGCCATTCTGCAACAGGCATTGCACAACGAGTAGGGGGGAAATATCTCAGACCTTGTGGGAAATGGGGTTGTAGGAATTCAGCTCTTCCTTTGGATCGCCCCCCCCCCTGTAGCTGAACCAACTTGGTCTTTGCCCTTGCGAGACATTTGTGGATACCTTTCAGCAGAGAAGTTGTTGTTGTTATTTCTTGCTCTATTTCTCTGTGGCGTGGACATCGTGGCTGTCTAGTTTCCAAGCAGGTGGAGATGGCCGGAGGGGAAAGGCCGAGGGGATGTCCGAGGGAAGAAAGTGTTTCTGGTGCCTCGTTGCGTGGGTTTGCAGATCCAGCCTGCTTTCTTCCTGGCCTTCACCTCCACGCTGTTGGCATTGGGCCGGAACCTAACAGCCTGGTGCCAGCAGACCACGCCCACCTCTGCCTGCTGCCTGCTCTGGGCCAGCGGCTGAAGAGAGGCAAAAACTTAGCCAGAGCGTATCCATTGTTTGTCCCCCTTGTGTCCTGGTCTTTCTTTCTCTGCGCTCCTGGGGACCTCCTGGGCAGGTGCCTTAGATCCCAGGTTGGTGAGCTTTATCAGTACTGTTTGAACCTGCCTGTCTGTATTCCTTCCAGCCAGCCTGAGCCTCTGGGGCAAAAGACCCCCTTGCATGAGTTGGGTCATGGCTGCAGCAGCCGGGAGGGGTGTGTGGTTTGGAGTACACAATCCCTGTGTTGTGTCCTGTCTTAGATGTGCTGCATTTTTCTTTCCATAAAGAAAGGTGTGAGAGAAGTGTGATAATTTTGGGTGTAAAGAATTTCTTGTCCCAGGCTTTAGTATTTCATGATTTTTTGCTATCAGTAGCAATAATTATCTTAAGACAGGGCTGACATTCTGCGTTTCAGAGGCGCATGCAAGTTTTCTGTTGTAAAATTGTATTTGAGTGGGAGAAAAGGGTTCTGAACTAAACGTTCTGAACTATTGGGGGGGGGGGAATAAATAACTTTGTTATACTGTCTTCTTATTCTAGAACTTGATATCCTGGCTATACTGGGAGCTTCTGCCACGGGAACATAGGGCAGCACGCAACAGTTATACCCTCCCCCACTGAGAGAACCAGAACAATTAGCTTGAGGTCACTAGATGACCTCTATGTCTGTGTGGTGTCAGGTTCCCCTTCCCCAGATCTCAGTCCTCCACGATCCACTTTGAGGGGCTCAGTGGGAGAGCCTCTGCTTGGCCTGCGGAAGGTCCCAGGTTCAATCCCCAGCGTTAACAGTTAGAAAGATCTGGCAGTAGGTGATAACGAAAGACTTCTGCCTGAAACTGATCTTGATGGACCAAGGGCCTGATTCAGTAGAAGGCGACTTCGTGTGTGATTCCCCGTCATCGTTTGCGGGATTTGAACATGAAGTTTGCGGGATTTGAACATGAAGTAGAACAACCTAGAATAGCATTCTGCCTAATGATGTGCCTAATAATTGTGGTCTCCCACCAACACTGCTGTGTCCTTCAGTGAGAGAGGAGCTCTTCAGAAGATCCTAGTAGTGTCACTGGCAGCTAGCTGTTTGGTAGGCATGAGGAAGCCTTTGGGACCGTTTGGATCTTGACCACTTCCTCCTCATTGGCTCCTTGGTAAGAGACAGCCGACAGGGTACCCATGCCTGCATCTTACATCTTCAGTCTGTCTCTTCTGGTTCAACCAACTCAACACTTCATGAGCCTCCTCTGACATTAAGTGGGGCAACTGCAGAAAACACTGATTTCTCAATAAACTTTGTTTAAAGGTTTCTGGTGCCCTCTGCCCTTCATGCTCACCTGGTGCCTGCAGATTTGGCCGGGTGTCCCACCACTTCCCACTCAACTTATATTTGCTACTTCTCTGTGACATGGAGCTGCCTCAGTAACAGGGCTGTCCTACGGACACTTCCTGGTAGTATAAACCTTGTTGAGTAGGTCTTCATTGGTATTCTGACTAGATCTACTTTGGATTGCTCTCTGAGGCATATTTGTACAGTTACGTTTGGCTCAGTTATGTTTGCATGAGCGCAGAAGATGCCAGAGGTTGGGTAAACTAATGGGCCACTTTATTTAACTTTCAACATTAAAATGGCAAGGGCATATAACTGGAAGTGGCACGGTGAAGGCCAGGGGTCCTCCCTTGCTGCATAATGGGCGAGCCACCCTGCCCCTAGGTGGAGCCGACAGCAGTTGGTTCTCACCCAGCCAGCACAGCCAACGGGATATGCCCTGGAGATCCAACCCCCTAAACCGCACAGCTTACAGTGCAGATCAATCCAGGAACCCCAACGGGTGGTCTGCATTCTTCAGCTGGCCGCACAGCCCAGGCCTGATCCTGCAGGACCCCTGTGCCCAAAACGGGTTGCTGAATGGTGCTCACTGAGCCACAAACAATTTCCAAACAGAATCTCTCCATCTGTTTACGGGAGAGAGTGTCAGCCACCCCATTGTCAATACCAGGAACATGACTGGCAAAAAACAGTATGTTGAGACGAAGGCAGCTGAAGGCCCGCACCAGCCCCATGGCCCTTGGGAACTTGGACGTGTGGGAGATGATGGCATGAACCACCAGCATGTGGTCACACCAAAAGTGGGCAGTGTGTTCTGCCAGCTCCTCCCCCCCCCCCCCCCCCCCCCACCCCCCCCCCCCGCCCTGGAGCAACAACCTTGCATGCAAAGTTGAGGTGCTTCAGTAATTGCTGCATCTCCCTCAAGGTTGCCTTTTTTCTACCAAGAAAAAAGGCCACCCTTGCTTGCACATTGAGAACCCTTTCCCAGGATAGACAGGACATCTGGGCCACTCTATCTGACTCTACTCCTGAAAAGGTCAGCCTCTGCACCAGGCCCTCGGTTTTTGCAGGGACCAAAGGGACCCCCAGTTCCCCAGACAACTCAGTGAAAGCAGCTAACAACTGCACATACTGTCCCGTCCCCTGTGGGCCCACAAAGAGGAAGTCATCGAAGTAATGGACAATTCCAACCTGCTTTAACCCGCAAAACCCATTCAAGGGATGAACTAAACTGCTCCAAAGTGGCACAGGAAACAGAACAACCCATGGGTAAAGCTCTGTGCTTGTAGAATTTTCCTTCAAAGGAGAATCCAAGCAACCCGAAGTCATCGGGGTGCTCAGGAAGGAAGTGAAAGGCTGACTTAATGTCACATTTTGCCAGCTTCGCCCCTGGACCACAGCGTTGCACAACGCGAACCACCTGATCAAAGGTACGCAATTGCTCTGGAATGGCACCATTCACTGACCCTCCCCTCGGGTAGGACGGGTGATAAATTAATCAAAATTCACCAGGAGTCTTCTTGGGCACAGTGCTCAATGGGGAGACCTTTAAGTTAGGCACAGGTGGAGAAAAGAAGGGTCCTAAAATGCAGCCCTCTGCTCTCTCCTTCTCAGTCTTTGCCCGTACCACCCCTTCCATTCCCTTAACGAGTTGGAGATTACCTGCCAAAGGGGGAGGGGGTGTCCTGCAGCCTACCAAAGGAATCCTAACCCAAATAGGAAACCATTTCACAAATACAAGCTGTATTTCTTCCTGGGATACCGCCTCAGCCAAGCTTCAAGAGCCCTCAGCTTTAGGGGGCTGGGTCCCTTTCCCCAAAGACTGCCCAGGTACACCACCGCCTGGCTTCCACTAGCTTCTGTGTGGCTTAGCCCTGTAGCACATAGTAAACGTGTGTGATCCCCCACATAGTGGGCATTCGTGCCTGTATGAACAGGCTTTCCTGTTACAAACCCCTTGGGACCCAAATTCCCAACACAGCGGGGGTGGTGGTGGTGTTGAACCGCCTGCCCCGCAGAAGCATGGGAACCAGAAGGAGCCTGGAGCCAGTGAACCAGGTGATGACCCCGCGGTCAGAGCAGTCGCCGGTGCTGAGCCTGGATGGGGACATAGCCTGCAGCCAGAGCTGTGGGTGAATTTGATCCCACTGGAGGGAAGAATTCAGGGCAGCCGGCATCCTGAACTCCTCGTCCTACTCCGACCAGGCCCAGCCCATGAAGCTCATGTAGCCTTTGTCAATTATATCCATACATATATCCAGTGATGAGGTCCTCCAGGGCTGAGAACGCACAATAACCCCTGCATAGATGAAACCGGACAACCAGTTGGCCCATGTCCTGTCCACTTTATGCTGCTTCAGTTTCTCTTTATCCTCCATATCGTCTTAATCCTTCTTTTTGAGTTCTCGATGATGAAGAAGAAGAGATTGGGTTTATACCCTGCCCTTCACTACCCAAAGGAGTCTCAGAGTGGCTGACAAACTTCTTTCCCTTTCTCTCCCCACAACAGACACCCTGTGAGGTAGGCGGGGCTGAGAGAGCTCTGACAGAAACTGCTGTTTTCCAAGCACAGCTCTTATCAGTACTATGGCTTGCCCAAGGTCACCCAGCAGGTGCAAGTGGAGGAGTGGGGAATCAAACCCGTT